TGTATGTTGGCCACTTGTATGTCTTCTGAGAAGTGTCTGTTTATATCCTTTGCTCACTTTTTCTTTCTCGAATTGAAGTCTTACTCTGTTACCCAGGCTGGAGTGCAGTGGCATGCTGATGGCCACCCCAGTGTCAACCCACTGGGTTCAGGCAATCCTTCTGCCTCAGCCTTCTTAGTTGCCAGAACTACAGGCGTGTACTACCACGCCCAGCTAAGTTTTGTTTTGTTTTTTGATTTATTGTAACCATGATCTCTCTCCAAGTTGTCCAGGCTGTTCTTAAACCCGTTGGCGCTGGCAATTCCCTCACCTTGGATTACAGGCTTGAGCCACCACATCCGACCCTTTGTCCACTTTTTAATGGAGTTATTTTTTTTTCTTTCAATTGGTTTAAGTTCCATATAGATACTAGATATTAGTCCTTTGTCAGATATATAGTTTGCAAATATCATCTTCCATTCTGTAGACTGTCTATACCATTGATAATTTATTTTGCTATATTGAAGCTCTTTATTTTAATTAGGTCTCAAGAGTCAATTTTTGTTTTCGTTGCCTTTATTTTTAAGGACTTGTTCATAAATTTGTTGCCTGGACTGATGTCCAGAAGAATGTTTCCTAGGAGTCCAGCTTCGTTCTTCAATATATTGGTTAGCCAGTTTTCCCAGCACCATATATTGAATAGAGTGTTCTTTCCCCAATGTTTATTTTTGTCAACTTTGTCAAAAATCAGTTGATTATAGGTGCACTGATTTATTTATGACCTGTTGGTTATAGGTGAAAGTTCTCTATTCTGTTCTGTTGGTCTGTGTGTCTATTTTTGTACCAGTATCATGCTGTTTTGGCTACTGTGGCCTTGTAGTAAAGTTTGAAGTCCCATAATGTGATGCTTCTGGCTTTGTTCTTTTTGCTTAGGATTGCTTTGTTTATTCGGGCTGTTTTTTGTTTCCATCTGAATTTAAGTATTAGTTTGTCTAGATATGTGAAAAATGACACTGGTAGTTTAACAGGAATTGCACTGAATCTTTAGATTGTTTTGGGCAGCATGGATATGTCAACAGTATTGATTCTTCCAATCCGTAAACACAGGATGTTTCTCCATTTGTTCATGTCCTTTTTTATTTCCTTCAGCAATGTTTTGTAGTTCTCGTTGTCGAGATCTTTCACCTCCTTGGTTGGATGTATTTCCAGATATTTGAGATATATTTGTGAATGTGGATGGGGAAAGTAGTTAAAGAAGACTTCAATTTTAAATAGAAGGTGTTCATTTTTTAAACGAAATTGGCAAAAACATTAACAGATATTAGTACTGCATTGCAAGAACTCAGAAATATGTGTCATTCTTTTTATGTTTTTGTGGCTTTATTAACATATTTTTATAAAACACAGAAACACATATATATGTATAGAAAATAAATGTTATAGTACAGGACAAGCTGCAAAAACCTAGATAAACATAAGATAATAATATTCAAATATACTGTAGCTTTTAATCTTGAGGTTTAAACTGTGTTAAAACTTTGTTTACATTCCCTTATAATAAATGACAACTAATAGCAAAAACCCTAAAATATATGTTTGAAGTCATCAACAATTGGTCAATGAAAGTATGGTCTTTTAATTACAAAGTTTAATATATGGTCTGTGGTTTAATCAAGCCTGAGAGTCTGGCTCATGCAAATGATAATCCAAATTTCTAAGCACGGTCCTCTATTTTTGAAACCTCTTTCTGAGCTCAAATAATTGAAAGGGTCTACAATTTCAAAGTGAATTGCATTTTCTTTTTTCTCTTTGTAATAATAATATGTGATTTTTAAATAATCCATAATACACTAGAGTTAGGTTTTAAAAACTCAGAACAACCCATAATTCTACTTCCCAAGGAAAAATTTATTTCAAGAATTTTTTAAATAAATATATAGTTGGTATTATTGTTTCATCATTTTGTTCTTATTTCAGCTTGGGTCTATGTCACCAAATAAACTTAAAAGCATTTTTTTTAACTATGATATTCCAGCAATGTTGACACCATTGCTTATCTTACACCCTCTTATTGATGAACATACAAATTGTTTTCAGTTTCTTACTGTTGCATATAATACTGATGAATATCATTATTTATAAATATTTCTATATGTTACCTTTTTTAGAATAATTTTCTAAGGATCTCTAATTTTTGGATTTCAGAAAGCTAACATTATCAACTAGATATCATCTTTCTTTGAATCTAAAGAAGTGCTTTTAAAGACATTACTATTTTCCTAGTGAAAAGTATTAATAGTCTCATGAAGAAAAATCACTAAAAGATATGAGTAGCCTCATATAAATTCAAGTCAATTTTTACCATCAAACGAGCTATGAAAAACCTTTGAACTTTGGAAGTGTAAATAAAGGAATTTGGTTCCATACCCACTTATACTCCTTTCTAGAGTGGATGAAAATGACAATTCATAGAATTTTCTCTTTTTTTAAAATCAGTCTTCAAGAAGATTTTATCACAAAATTACTTTACACTTTTCATTTTGCAATTTCTCTCTTCAGTAGTCACTATGAACTGTAAATTATTCCAACACTTAATTTCTAAGAAATTAAATATCTTCCTAAAAATGCTATATAATTTCCATTACATAAGAATGTCAGAATATCTTTACTTTATCACACAAAAAACTACACTTAATAATTATAGCATATTCTTTATTTGTCATCTTTCTATAAAAATGGTCAAGTTAGCCTTACCAGGAAATTATAAATAAAATGAACACAAGTTTTAATAGACTACTGATTAGACTCTTATGTTGTAAGTATTTCTAGAACATGATATTACAAATTAAGTCAATAATTCCAAAACAACAGTTTATTAACAAAAAAGTACAAAGAAGTACAAACGGCACCCCATTTCTCCCCATTATGGTCTATCCCTCTCCCTTTTAGTCCATGACATGGACACCTTGTTAACCAAACTAAACTGAGGTACATGGAAATACTCAGCTTATTAAGTTTTGCTTTTTGCACTGATTTTAAATCAAAGCTACTCACACATTTAATCTTGCTAATATTACTTCAATTTCTTCAAGAATGATTCCATTACAATTTATTTTAACAAATCTAAGGTTTTTTCACACTTCTCTTTCTATAGGTCTGAAATACTTCTCTGAATCTTGACAAACTCCAGTATTTTGTGATTTCTCTCAGTGTTCCTTAAAATACCAATACAGAAGGGGAGATTTAGTAAGTTGTCATGTTGAGTAAGTAATGCTCATTTTGCTTTTTCTTCTATGACTCCTCAAGACAGAACATGGGTGGTGCTGCTCACCAAAGGTGCTAAAAGTCTTGTGTAGTATGTGTTAGAATGTGTTAGATTATATATGTTTTTAAGTGGTAAACGCCAGTCTTTTGGTTTGTGGAGGGAGCCTGGACAGAGCTTACCACTATACTTTACTCCTCACCTACAACTATTCTCATAAAGAACATGAGCTCAGTGTTAGACTAGGCTTTAGTGACATAAGGGTGCTATACCAGTAATATATTTTGGGGGGAGCTGGAAAATTCAGATGACCACTCACTAAACATATAAAATCATCATTCCACAAAGATTTTATTCACATTAAACTTGCATAGTAGCAAAAAAACAACAACATAAAACTAAGCCACATATCAAATAATAGTATACAATAGAGATTTTAATTTCTCAATGGCATTGGAAGTATTTCTATAAATAACATTTACAATTCTAATGTTAGGATTTTCTTTTTATGTTTTTAAAGATGTGGAGTACAATTCGAGGTTAGGTACACAAATGGCCATTATAGAAGTAAAATTTGGGCCTCATTTTGGTCCCACCTGGTTTGAGGTAAGATACCCTCATTGATGAAGTGTGCTCCTCCCCTCCCTACCCTGACAGTTTCCCACTACTGCCAATCTCTTTCTTACAGTATGAAAATTCTTCAGGGTCTGCTTATGAGTAAGAGCATTTGGTACTTAGTTCTTTTTTTTCTGTGATACAACACTGAGTATTATAGACTCTAAGTCTGTCCAAGTTGTTGCAAAGTTCATAATTTTGTCCTTTTTTTTAACTGCATAATATTCCATCATGTACATATACCACATTTTAAAAATTCAGTCCACGTTCAATGGGCAGTGTGGCTCCATATTTTTGTTATTGTGAATAATACTGCAATGAACTTGCATGTGTGCAGGTATCTTTTTCATAGAGTGATTTGAGTTCCGCTGGATATATTCCCAGAAGGGGGATTGCTGGGTTGTATGGAAGGTCGATTTTTAGATCTTTTAGGAATCGCCATACTGTTTTCCACAGAGGTTGTACTAGTTTATACTCTCATAATAGTGTGGAAGCGTTTCCTTTTTCCCACATCCTCTCCAGCATCTGTTGTTTCTTGAGTTATTGATGATGGAGTGCTACAATTGATTTTTATCAGAACACATTCAAAAATGTGTAACATAATAATTCATATTAATTATGCACAAAAAAGCACACCAGTTGTCATTCCAGCATGACCATGTCACTCTATGTTCTAAAAACAACCCCCCAAACCTGAGTCCCATTCATTCTTTTTTTTTTTTTTTTTTTGAGTGGAGTCTCACTCTGTCGCCCAGACTGGAGTGCAGTGGCCGCTCCCGGCCACCGCAGCCTCGACTTGCTGGGCTCCAGCGATCCTCCGCCTCAGCCTTCCAAGTAGCCGGAATTACAGGCATGCGCTACCACGCCCGGCTGATTTTTTGATTTATTGTAGAGATGAGGTCTCGCTGCCCAGGCGGGTCTCGAACCCGCGGGCTCAGGAAATCCACTCTCTCAGCCTCCCAAAGGCGTGAGATTACAGGCTGAGCCACCGAGCCCGGCTCCATTCTTTAATTATGCCTTTATTCACGCTGCTTTATTATATTCAAACAGTCACTGTTACTGCTCTTCACCACAACTTTCGGGTTGATGTCACTCCCTGCTTGCTGGCTGTCAGGACTGGGAGATGCCCTTCTCCCAGACTCACCTTCTTCCAGATGTCTTCATAATTTGTTCCAAAAGAGCCATAGAGCTTGAATGCAGCCTGGTGGAGTTCTTGAGCATGTTTTAAATCGTGGTTAAGCCTTTAAATATCCCAATGATTTGGGATACTTGAAATAATCAGCAAGCATGGCAATGAGGTAATCGGTTATGCTTAACGATTCTTGCAGCTCAACATCTGGTTCAATCAGATAGGCAAGTGTCTCAGCTCCTTCAGCTCTCTCCTCTAGCAATCTCTCCTTACTGCAAACAAGGCAATACAAAACAGTTGTCATCCATCTGAATTGCTCCAGCTCTACACATATAAGTTAAACATTTTGCTGATGTGAGCTGCATCTTAATGGGCTTATCTCTTTGTAACATCTTCACAAAAATCTGTGGTAACAACTCACCTTCAACCAAAACATTTACCAGGGTCATTGATACTTAGGAATTTTCAAAAGCTAAAACTGAGAAGCATTTCAACGCTTGCATCCAAACATTATAGGACAGAAAGTTTAGTAGGTGAGCAATATTCTGAACGGCGCCAGGGTTAAAATAAAATTGCTTGATGAATTGGCCCTTTACACTAGTGTGAAAAGATCTGACAAATGTACTCCTGGGTATAGCAAGACCTGTTGAGCAGTGCCATGAGGAGTGATATCTCTGTGGCATACTGGAATTGAAGGAAGGAGAACATAGAAACAAGGAACATGTACCGAAGCTCCTTTGGAGTGATAGGACTGGTGAAGATGGTACGAAGGCATTGGAGGCAAGCTTCAACGAACTTCAAGTCTGGGGACAGAAGTCCTTGCAGTAAGGCAGGGATAATATGGCAGTCCAGTAGAGACTTGACATTGTTTTCAGCACCCATAGCAAGACTTCCCAATACCACTGCACATTCAGCTTTCAGCTCCATGCTTGTGGCTTCTTGCTGAAGCAAGTACAACAATTTTGGAACAGCTCCTGACACTATGAGATTAGCTTTTTGCTTCTGTTTCCAATTACAGCATTTTTCATGTCTTACTTGCATGACACCTTGCAGAACTCTCTGGAGATCAGGGTGAAACAGCCTGTCAATGTAGTGGCAACTGCTAGCTGTTACTTCTGAGAAGATGCTCATGCAGATTGGGGTTTCCAGCAGGAACACCATCTTCAGAAATTTCAGCTGCTATTGTTTTTACAATTTGCCTATTTGATAAACAAAAATATAATATTTAAAACTTTCAACACATTTTTATATGTTATTTGTTTATATTTTCTTTCTTTTGGCATTCCTAATAGGAATGCATTTTTCTCTTTCACAGTTGAAGCAATCATCTTAATCGTCTTATTAATTTCGTTAGAATTTTTACATTAATGATATTAATACTTTTTAATATATGTTGAAATCTTTTCACAGTTCCTTATATTTTATCCTATTAAGATTTATTTGGTTATGTTTGATAAAAGGGAGGAATTTTATATTCCATTTTACCTAATTAAAAATGGAGCCATTCTGAAGAATTCAATCTTGGGCTATTTTGGTATGTATGCAAACCACAGCCCTCAACTGCTTTGATTTTTAATCAGTTTGATGGAAAAATAATGTTTAATAACAAAATTTGAATACACAGATGTAAAATACAGATGTCAAATCCTCACAACTCAGCACTGTTTACACATATTTGTTTATCTTGTCAACTCAAATTATACTTTATGTTTTGCATAGATTTGATTCACCTAAGTATGATAACAATACAAATTCCAACCTGACTCAAAATATCAAAAATCAGTATTGATCCTCTCCTTTCAATCTCTACCTTCAACTTGTTCTAATTTTTGCATTTTCTGTTACTGGTAATACCATTTGACTAAGATTTTTTTTTTCCAGAAGCAGATCCTGAATCAAAAACGTGAGGGCAAGTAGCACGTTTGGAAGGTGATCCCAGGAAGAACTGGAAGGGAAGTGGGAACATGAGAGAGAGAAGGGAAGGAAGCTAGTAAAGTTCTGGATCATGTTACTACTGTAGGCAATTGAGGCTCAGTCATACAGGGAAAATCCCACAGAATGTAGAACATGTCTTGGAGTTTTACTACCATCACGTTCTAACTTTGCTTTTCTCTCCATTACTTCCACCACATCCTAGTTTTGGTTTATAGTACTATTTCTCCAGACAATTGCAGTGACTATTTTACTGATACTTCCTGACCAATGGGTACAGAGTCAACTCACTTAATAAAATGGATTTGTATGTCCCAGTTTAATCTGTGAATATACAATTGTCATGTGCAAAAGAGCTTCAATAGATTGCCATTCTCTATAAATAAATAGAACCCAGACTCTGGGAATTGTAAGCCTCCAAAAATTGCTTTCACATCTCTTTCCCAGATGTATCCTTCTGCTTCTATTAACATATGTTGCTCGAAAACTAAGCAATTTTTCTGTTTTTCAAGCATGTTCCATGTTTCTAAGTGTGTGCCTCTTGTCAAACTCTTCTCTCTCTGCAATGTCATTGTCTCTTCTTCCATATCATTCTATTGAAATCCTACTTATTCTACAAAGTTCAGATCAACTACTACCTCTTCCATGATTTTTCTTGCTACCTCCAAGCTGGAAGTAACACGTTCTTTTGACGCCATTTATAACACTAGTCACCTTTTACTCTGAATTGTGTTTGTTTCTATATCCCCTAGATTGTATTATTTGAGGATAGGGCATGCTATCTACTGTATTCTCCATTGAATTAAGCAAGTCCTTTGCACATAGCAGACACACAAGAGACACACATAAAATTAATTTAATTATTTAGAATCTTACTTTAAAAAAAGGAACTTAGAAATAGCAAGTGTTATTTTCAAATACATGAGGAGATATCAAGTAAATGAACTTAACTTTTTTCTACTGTTCTCACAGGGGATGATGAAAACAAACTGATGAAAGTTCCAGGGAGCATGGAGGTTAAAAAGAAACTTTTTCTGAATTATTTAGGGAGTATATCCACTGAATATTTGTTACTTTTTAAACTATTTTTTAATAGATTTTTTTTTTTTTTAGTTAATTTATCAATTGAGAGTATTGGTACATATAAAGACTTCGAGTTTCTGGGTACACAGTAGTGAACAAAATATATAATTCTTGTCTTCATGGAACTTACAGAGTATTTAAAGAGAAAGATAAACATTGAACACAAATAAATATATACACTGTGGTCAATGCCATAAAGGAAAATGACAATGTTCTCTGAAATAGATTATGAGAATAACTTAGAATTAAAAAGGAAAAACAAATATCTGAGAAAGTACCATTTTAGGTTGACACCTGAAGTTAGGAGAGAGTTCCAGAAAATGAGATTATCATATAAAAATGATCTGAGGTGGGAAAGGTCTGGGCAAGTTTAAGAGAAAGAAAGGTGTTCAGTTAAAAAAAAAAGAAAGAAAAGAAAAAAAAAAAAAACAGCTAGACCTTGTAAAAATTTAGCTCAACTGCAGTTGCAGTGAGAACTCATTGAAAAATATTAAGGTAGGCAGAGTCATGATTATATTCACTTTTTTAAAAAAGATCAAAATGTCTATTGATCACAAAAATTGTGTTCTTATAAATCCACAATAGCTAATTCAAAAGTTATTTTTAAAAGTTAAATTCTTGGCCGGACTAGGTGACTCAGTCTGTAATCCCAGCAGTTTGGGAGGCCGAAGCAAGTGGATTGCCTGAGTCTGCAGGTTCAAGACCAGCCTGGGCAACTTGAGGAGACATTGTCTCTACAATAAATAAAAAATTAGCTGGGTGTGTTAGTGCACACCTGTAGTTCTGGCTACTTGGAAGGCTGAGGCAGAAGAATCGCCTGAGTCTAGCAGGTCAATGCTAGGGTGACTGTGAGTATGCCACTGCACTCTAGTCTGGAAGACAGAGTGAGACTCCAACTAAAAAAAAAAAAAAAATTAGCCTCTTTCTTAAAGTTAAAACAACATAGTCATACATATTAAAACAAAATAAAATTATTTGTGTATATTAAATATTATGGAGAAACATAAGTAGATGAATTATTTTTGGTGCATTTTCATAAACTTTAATCAGTTTTCTTATTTTGTCTCTATTATTGTGCTACTAAGTTTTTTTTTCCTAGAATGTATTTTTCCCTTACTTTTAAATTTTTTATTTTGATAAAAACAGGGTCTCACTGTGTTGCCAAGGCTGGTCTTGAACTTCTGGCCTCAAGCAATCCTCCCATCTTGTCTTCCCAAAGGGCTGGAGTTAGAGGCATGAGCAACTGTACCTGACCTCTTATGTTTTCCAATGAGTTTTTAGTTTTAGTTTTTAATAACTTGAAGAATAACTTTTTTTATAACTTGAAGAAGTTTTAGTTTTTAATAACTTGAAGAATAGTTTACACAACATAAAGTTCACTCAAGTGTTCTGTTTGTTTGTTTTTCATTTACATGTTGTATAAAATTACCACAAAGATTTTCTTTTTAATTTTATATAACTACTGGTAACATTATGTAAATTTTTAAATAAGTAATTAATTTGAAATTGTTGATGATTTAAATTGGTCCTTCTTTATGGACTATAATTTTTTTTTATGAGAAAGTGATCAGTTAACAGGTGCTTAAGCACCTGATAAGTTCATGGTAAATTCCACCAAAAAAGAGATATTAACAATTCTAATTTTCTTTATCATAAAAAGTACATAATACCATTTACCACAGTTTTTTATACGTTAACTATTTTGAATGCTTTGTCATATTAATGCTGTAAAACTGTAGGCTTCCTAAGTTTTTCTACTTCAGTATACTTTTTTTTTTTAACACGGGTGGAGTGCAGTGGCACCAACATAGTTCACTGTAACTTCAAACTCCTCGGCTCAAGTGATTTTCTTCCCTCAGTCTCCTAACTAGCTACAACTATAGATGAGTGCCACCATGTCTGACTATTTTTATTGTTGCTGTTGTTGAGACAGGGTCTCACCATGTTGCCTAGACCGGTCTCAAACTCCTGTCTTCAAGTGATCCTCCCAAAGTGCTGGGAGTATACGTGTAATTCACCAAATCTAATCTGCATTTGATATTTTATTTTTAGAGCAGTGCTAGAGTCACAACAAAATTAAGAAGGTACAGAGATTTCCCATACATTCCTTGCCCCCACACATGCATAGCCTTTCCAATTATCAACATCTCCCATCAGAGAGGCTCATTTGTCACAACTGATAAACTTACATTAAGACATCATTATCGCCCAAAGTCCACAGTTTATATTAAGGTCCATTCTTGACACTGTATATTCTATAAGTTTGGACAAATGAATAACGACATATGTTCATCATTGTGGTATCATAGTGATGTGGATTTTTCAGGTCAGCCTAGGCTTCAGGAGTGTCAGGTCAATGGGTCAACCAGCTGAGCCCCAGAAAGGGTCGGCTCAAGGGGTTGGCAAGCCTGGCCACGGAAGTGTGGGCTTTAATGGGCTGGCAAGCCAAGCCCTGAGAGTGATGCTGATTCACTGGTCTGGCAAGTTTAGCCCCCAGAGTGTTGGCTCTAGTGGCCCAGCAAGCCAAGCTGGAGAGTGTTACAGCCCTCAGAAGACTCTCAGCCTCAGAGCCTTGCCTTCTTTCAGCAGCTCTCCCAGTTCAACTGACTCCGTCAGCTGACAAGCCAGCCACTGGGGTGCACAGCTCTTGGGCTCCCACATCTTCTGCAGCTCTTCAGGTTGGGTTTCTTGTTTCATGCCCAGGAGGAATGAGAAATAGGGACAGCCAAAGCTGGAAAGTGAGAAAGCAGAATTTATTGAGAGGATAGAAAAGCTCCCACAGAGGGAGGCGACCCAAAGGGGTTGCCAATTTGGAGCTGAAACCTGGCAGTGCTTATCTAGCCCTAAGACCATGCTGATTCACTATAACTAGCTCTGAGCTGATTGGTCAGCACTAGCTGTTTTGATTGGTCAATTCTGAGGACCTGTCAGCAGGAGGTAGGGGGCTAATGGTGATCTGATTGGTTGGTACTTGCCAGTAAGCTGGTTGGTTGTTTTCCATCTCAGCAGTAAGTAAACTCTAGTTTGAGAAGCTCACAGGGAGCTTGTTTACCATGAGAGCATCAGCCTGAGAGACCTGCTGAAAGATTGCTACATTGTCACCAGAGGACCCACCCTGTCTGTCTGCCTGGCCTTTTTCTATCTCC